GAAAAATACGTAGGGGGGAAATTCATTTGGCGCCTACTGTATTTAAAAATGGGGTAAAATAATTGCTAATTAGTAACTCTTTGGGAAAGCAAATACAGGGTTTTGTAGCGCTTGCAAATCTCTATCAAAAAATATATTCCTTCACGGTCTTCAAAGCATTAATAACTTACAAATAAGAATGTAAGGTACTAGGGTAACGCTAATTAGCACTAGTTAACAATTTAACGGTCGAGAGGGACCTGATTCTATTTAGTTCCATCTTCCGATTAGAAATATGATATTCATATTACTAGAAAATATCAAATTCAATTTTGTCGTTGAAGTCACCTAAAAGTCTACTCTAATTTTGACAATAAAAAATTCATAACTCCTCATGGATAATTTTGTTTGTCACTAAAATTTCAGGTTACGTATAGCAGCAGACAATATGAGAATGTTTGTGTGTGAGTGGGATCTTGTTTGAAAGTTAGTTGATGGAGATATAACATTTTAGTGACCATGGGATCATGAGATTTTCGAAAAATCTAATTTTTTCTCCTTTTTTAAACCGTTATACTTTCTTCGTAGACTTATACCATACCGCAAGTACATCACAGATTCACAATGATCTGCTCTATCCGGCGGTGAAAAGCGTTTTTCAGAAAGTTGGAAGATTATTCAGAAAACATTTTTTTATTATCTAGCTATCACATCGGTATCCATCGATCTTTTTAGTTTTCTCAACAACCATACTGCAGCAAACTCTAAAAACTATCCAGACATATACGTCTTCTCCTTCTCTATTTTGCCCTATCAGACCAAATCAAACCGGCGGTATCCTTTCACGTTTCTTCATTTCAGGTACTCTCTACTACTGGATGTCAGTTAATAATCACAAAAAATAGAAAAGATTCAAAATAAGTACGCTCATTACTTTAGTTTGGAATCTTCATTCTTTTCTCATTTCAACAGAAAGATCGGTCTGACAAGAGTGATTTATAGCAGCAGAGAGTAGCCAAAACGAACAAACGTGAAATTTCAATTTTTTTCAAATTGTAATGAGGGTAGCTACTATACTGATATTTGTGATCAGCGCAAAATTCTCTACAAGACAGCATATTTTTTAACTCTTTCCCAGGAGGGACGCTCAAATAATATGTTCCCTTGTACGATTTTATCCGGTTTTTCTCTTCTTTCCCCCTCTCCCAGATGCATTTTTTCGTTAGTAAGGTAAAAAACTCGACAGACCTAGTTATTTGTCAAAGCCGTAGCTTTCAGAAATCAAATTCTTATGACATAAAGTGCACAAATGTAATAACATATTGTATTACCTCACTTAATATATCCTGAAGTTCGCCTTCGGTTGGCACCAAGCCAAGGGAACGTAAAACAGTTCCAACTTCTCTAAAAAAACAATAACAATAAAATTGCACGAAATCCGTTATACAAGTACCCCAAAATTATCATAGCGTAATAATGTTTTTACTTAATACAGTACAGCTGCATATTTCCACTTACGCTGCTGCTATTGTTTTATTTGATTCCAAATCAAAAACTTCGAAGGCATCGGTCAGCCGTTTAACTCTTTCTTGTTGAACTCGTTCTAAAAAGACAACAACAATCAATAGATGTTCAGATGAAATACAAGGATCCACGGAAACCAGCGGTTTACTCATTCTTTTTACTGACGAGCATTGTTTTCTCTCTACTTGACCTCTCCTCCAGAGATGTCTAGTGCGAACTTATAGAATGATATTAACCTTCGCTTTCCTTCACTGGATCACGTATAGTAACTTTTTCTACACCATTTTGCTCGCCGTTAGCTGTTGCATTCGCATCTATTGTCGGTACTGATGCCATGAAGGATGTTTCTCTAACTGATTGCTTATGACTTTCTCTAAATGTGAAACTACTTCCATGTTGAACAATGTTCAGACTGTAGTTTCTAAGAGCAATCATACTTGTCAATCAAATATATTTAACATTTATTAGATATTTTCTCTAGTTATGTAGTTGTAAGTCCGTGACCCTTGCTGCATAAGGCGACATCTATAATGTAAGTGACAGGAAGCACAGGTCCAAATGCTATTAACCCCATCTAGTTTACTGATATCCAATTCCTTGATAGAATTCAAACGACAAAAGCTATAAAAACACGGAGTATAATTATGCGCTCCATGCGCGCATCTTTCAGCGTAAAGCCGTACTTTATCGGTATCGAAAATGAAACGTCTATCTTCAATATTCCAATTATTTTCTTCATAACTCAAACAAAAACTATAAATCAAAAATATTTTTCTATCTGGAACGTAATGACAAGTTGAACTTATATCACATTTTACCTTTCAAAATACCCGATACGAACCAACTTGTTTTAATGTACCTGTTCAATGTTGGTTTAGGTCAGTTAATCTATTTCATTTTTTATATGAGCAAGCTGACAATAGTAAATAAAAATCAAAAGGAAAGCAAACGAAACAATTAAATTCACAGTAAGAAGATGCAAAAAAGAAAAACTACGAGTTTATGTGAACGGAAAATCAAGTTGTCTAAATAAATTTGGCTAATGTCAACATCTCTCAGTCAACAATGATAGGAGTGCTAAGAACGTTATTCAGAATAATTGCTTTACGTGTGCGTGTGAATACATGTTGAGAAAAAACCGAAACAAGTAGTACCAAAAGAAACAGCGATCTGATGAATCAAAACCAATACGACCCAATTATGTGCGAAGTAAAAGAAAGGAAGGATTAAAAATGCGCGCTATTGCTGTTTTGCTTTCTTGAAGAAAAATAGTCGAAAATAATCAAGCTGAATAAAAAAAAGATAGAAACGATAAGTAAATCAATTCCGCCCTTCTTCTTTGGAACGTTTGATGACATTAAGTTAAGAACAACATGTTGTATTGGATTTTGTTTCGCCATTCGTTGAGTTTAAAACAATTGGTATGGGTGGATGATGTTCGTTTGGTCCTTCTTCGTGTATTTGACGTTGTGAAACAATACGATAAATTTCTAGAGAAAATCAAACGCTAAAGTACTACTTAAATACTTTTTTAAATACGTACACAACTTTAAACTAAAGCTATCTCTATTAGTAATAAATTGTTCCTGCACTACAGGTGAATTAAATGACCCTAGATGACTAGATTCCACTATCTTTACATTTAACATTTAACTGGGACTTTCAGCTTGAAATTATTACTGTGAGTGTTCCCTCTCTCTCTCTCTTGCTGCTTACCTTGTAAAATTGTATGAAACGCTGTTTCAACGTTGGTGGAATCTAAGGCTGATGTTTCGGTAAACGAGATACCATTTTTCTCTGAAAAAAGCATTCTTTAACGAATATAAACACAAGAGAAAAATATGTTATTTACCCGCAAATGCTTTTGCTTCATCACTCGGAACTGATCGTAAATGTCGTAAATCTGATTTATTGCCAACTAACATAATAACAATATTAGCATCAGCATGATCACGTAGTTCTTTTAACCATCGTTCAACATTTTCATATGTACAGTGTTTACTAATATCATATACTAATAAAGCACCAACTGCACCACGATAATATCTAGAAGAGGAAAAAATTAGTTTGTGGAAAAAACGTTGAGCCACCTTTATTATAATTGAGGAATCATATTCAAAGAAACTGTGACTCTGAATGTTTGAAATATTTAGTTAAGTGTAATAAAAGAAATATATTACGTACGCGCTTGTGATAGCTCGATAACGTTCTTGTCCAGCTGTATCCTAGAATAGCAGGAAATAAACATAGCAAAGCATAGATGTCAAGTAAAAACCGATAAATACCCATATTTGTGCTTTAATCGTTTTGGAATCAACTTGAATACTCCTTCAAATAAAAAGGAAGACGTTCGTGTTATGATGAATAACTATTTCAGAGCATTTTCACGTACCTTGTTGCAAACTCTACTCCGATTGTACTTTTACTTTCAAGATTAAATTCATTTCTGGTAAAACGAGACAACAAGTTACTTTTACCTACACCCGAATCACCGATCAATACAACTAAAAAAAGAAATTAAGAATCAACACATATTCTATGCTGAGCTAGCGGCATACCTTTGAATAAATAATCATATTCATCTTCACGTGCCATTTGTTTGTTGTTTTCTTTTAAAATAAATACTAAGAATACGAGCAATACAAAAAAGGATGATAAAAAAATCCCAAAAACAATAACAAATTTGATATTTGAACGTGGAAACTTGAGATTTGAATGATGATAATGTTATTTATTTCATTTCTCTACAATAAATAAAAAGAAACAATATTATTTATGAAATAACTGTCTTTTGAAAACTATTTTTGTTATAAAGAGAGTGAGATAGGTTAATTCATTTCGCTACGTGTATTCTGCTCTATACGATTCCAATTTTCTTAGCAATTGATGTGTACGATGTGTACCTTATAAAACTAAAAACAATTCGTGATCGCAAGCTTCTCATTGCACAATACTATGGTGAGAAATAGAAGCAGCCGGGATATATGTTTTTTGGACACAAGATAGAAATTTTTTGTATACTACGTTTCTTACGAGTAAACTTTTTTCTCGAACAACGTCGTTCTTCATAATCGTGATCTACTCAAATATTAACAAGTCGACAAACATAAGATGAAACAAGCACAAGTAGAATAATAAAAACTTGATTCTTTAAAAATACCCAACCGCTCTTTGCATCCTTTTAAATTTGAATAGAATCTAGCGATGGAAGATAGACTTGATTACACAAAATAAGGTAGGTAACGGCTAGTTTCATTATAAAATGGAACTAATATGCGGCTGTCTATACGATGACTCACTTTATTATCTGCCGTTCAAAAACATTTGTCATCGTAATTGACCAATCACAGATAGAGATACGATAATCTAGTAAAACCATAAAACCAATAAAAAACAATATTAGCTTTAACCGCAAGATAATCTCATCTACACTACTTTCAGCAATAGAGTTACATTAAGTCTCTAAAAATGGAGTTATATTTTAGCCTTTTAGAAGGAATAGATGATTTCATTATTTCAGACCTTTTGTAAATTTTGTCACTATGTAGCTGAACTCGTGTTAAAAACACTTTTAAAGCTTCAGTCTTAATTAAAATCGAACAAAACTTGATCAGGATGCGCCAAACTTGAAAACTAAGCATAAGTCGTTAGTATCAGCATAAAGTCACGTTGATTGTACCGCATGACGTCTAATTTACATGCTTACTGAAAATTTGTTTTCGTTGAGTCGCACACCCTAGAAAATTTTTCCAAATTTACCTTCGCTAAATAATCATTCACTTACACGTTAAAATCGTTTTTAACACGAGAATGCGCAGTTTTAATATATGAATCGCATTAAAAGATTTACTCTTCTATATTGCCACAATAGTTCCTGATGTCGAACTCGTTTTCCTGCGGGCATATAACATTTATACTCTACACATTGGACGAAAATGTATATTAAGAAGACAGAAATTTGTTTGTCTCTTGAAGAAATCTAGTGTAACATAGTGTAACTGCAAAAGTAGAGTATAGCTCCAGAATATATATAATATAAAAATAAATAGAACAAGTGCGTGACTGAACCTTTTCAAGTAAATTTACTTGCACTGTGTCAGTTAAATACTTACATTTTACTTGTCAGTTATTTTCTCAAGTACTTGACAAGTAAACTTACTTGGAAAAGTTGCCAAGTAGTCCTCATTACTTAACCCAAGTACCTGCGCAAGTACATTTACTAGGTTCATTCTCGACATCGACGACAATCAATATTCATTTTGCTCTAATAACGTACATAATAGCACGTTCATAAATAGAATAATATTTTTCTTAGATATTATACAAGCAGAGATTTGGAATCGGAGAACGCACGAAATGAGACAGAAAGAGCGTTGAGAGAATATAACCCGTCAAAACGTGGATTCATCCCTAGACAAAACCCCTCGCACTTTCTACATATTTTCTACCAGGATCCTAGGATTCTGTTATAGTTCGTTTCGGGTCGTTTATTATTTTGTCAATAATCGCATTTTTCTGTTAAGATCCTTTTCGATTCTAACTGGATTCTAGCAAATACGATGACTTTCAGGTGCCCTTGATTCCATTGGGATTTTGTTAGGATCGTAGAAAATGTGAGTGAAATCCTAGTAAGATCCAGTCAGGAAATTCATAGGTATCTTACTAGGGAGTGACCGACAGGAGATATTATAATAAAATCTCAAAAGAACAAATGTAAATACCAGACTTCGGAAAAATCCTGCTTTTAATTAAAAACGTCCTACGTTGTCCTACTTTCGGACTTTTATCCCACATTTCCTACTTTTTCACATTGTTTTCTTTTTCTAGGAAATTTTAAGTAAAAATACTTGGTTGTTCTAGATTTTATAAATTTTCATTTTATTAGTAACAACATGATCTATGACTGTCATGTGTTGGTGTTTTTGATATTTTAAGCTTTCTATATCTTTTTCGTCGGAAAGAAAAGTCATGTGATCTATTGTGAATGCACTTTTTATGATCAAAAGATCCAGAATTTAATTCTTTATATTCAGTTCCAGCATTCCTCCACATAACATTTAAGATATTCAAATTCTAGTTTTCAGAACTTCTCCATTTATTAATCTGTTCGAACACATTATATCGAACAAAATGAACGTTATGGATTAAAACAAAACACACTAATATATTCTCCAGAAAATTCTTCATGCGAGTCCGTCTTCCCTTCATCATGTTTTCACACTTAGAATTTGAAGGAAATATACTATGAACACTGTAACTTTTACTTAATTAGCGTAGGCTTGAATTATGAAAAATTAAAAACATAAGAAAGAGAAGTGAAGCTAACGCACTGGAGCGCGCCATGTATTGTGAGAAAAAACGCTGATCAATTTTCGAAAGTATCTTCTCTTTAACACTTTTTAGTTTCATATACCACATACATCAGAAGCAATGGTGGATTTAGGGGAGGTGCGCTTATTCCCAAGGGGGAAAAACTGGACTTCAGGACTTCGAAGTCCCATGAAGTCCATTGAAATCCCATGAAGTCTGCCAGAGTCCCTTAAAATACACTTTGTTATAGTTCTGTACGTTGTATCTTTAACAATGTGTATCTCTAACCTATCCGACTACTTTAATGTTTTGAGAATCTCACTTTGAAAAATCATCGGGATTTTCACCAAAAAACGAAAACCAACTAAAAATTTCGAAATACACATCATTCGACTCAGTTTTTAATCCTAATTCTGAATGTGATATCTCTAAAAATTCTTGGCTTTCGATACTTCTTACCTGTAACAAACCACCTGTTAACTCATGTATTGATCAATTCTTTCGACCGAAAGACATTCTATCAGAAACAAGAAGAAAAAAGTTGAAAAAGTGCCAGTTCAGTCAGATATAGGCGATATAAAGTGGCGGACAAAAGTTTAAGTAAGGCCACTTTTACTTTTGAGTTTTCTCGTGAACTAAAGTAGCTAGAATAAATCCGAGAACCGATTTATGTAGAGAACATCTTAAAGTATCTAAGCATGTAAGAAGAAAAATTTTCATTTAACTTTAGCAGGAATGAAGTCTGTCGGAGTCTCTTAAAATACACTTTGTTATAGTTCTGTACGTTGTATCTTTAATGATGTGTATCTCTAACCTATCTGACTACTTTAATGTTTTGAGAATCTCACTTTGAAAAATCATCGGGATTTTCACCAAAAAACGAAAACCAACTAAAAATTTCGAAATATACATCATTCGACTCAGTTTTTAGTCCTGATTCTGATATGATATTTTTATTACACAAAAGTTGAGTTCTGTTAAAGAAAATCGAGAATTACAGGCAGAATTTCGACTTTTTCGCCTCTGATTTAGAGAAAATGAATTTGCTCAGCAATAAAAGAGAATTTTAAAAAAATGGTGTTACAGTTTTGATGCTCGTGAGCAGGCAAATCGAATGTGGTGTAAATTGAAATCAAAAACTAATTAAAGCAGATGAAAGATGTTGAAAAGAATCGAACATCGTTGAAGATTTCCAGAAAACTTTTAAAAACCCTTTTACATTCAATTTTGAAATCTCGCAAACCCTGAAGTTTGTTCAGTTTTTCACGCACTATTTAATGGTGTATTTGAAAGTATCTGTTGCTATGAAAAAATTGAGAAATTTTGGTTTTAAAAAAAGTTGAACTTTTAGAATTTAAAATTAAAATTAAAATTTAAAAGTAAGGAAAAGAGATTTTTTGATATTTCTTTTTTTTAGAATGCCGCTGAAACATTTCTCTACATGATGCAATTATTGAAAAAATTTTCAACTTAAAACTAATACCAGGAAAAAATTTTTATTAAAAAAGGAGTTTCCAAAACCCACGGTTTTCTGGAAGTCTTACTTTCAGATTTCTTCAAACATTTTCAACATCACCACTAGAAGGCCATGGTTTGAAACCTCTAAACCCCATGTGCTTCATTATGAAATAAGCTTCAACTTTTTGATCTAACACGCCTATTAGGATTTTTCCGATATTCACTATACCCACGTACTGAGTGTCTGCTTAGCCAAGCCTTTTTTCTGTATCTTATTGGAGTCCAAAACTTTATATAGATTTCTGGACTTCATAGGACTTCACGGCCGGGAGTTCCATGGAGTCCTGAAGTTCGCTTATTCCCCCTTGCTTATCCCACTACCCCATTCCAAAATATATTCAGAAGAAAAAGACAGCGTTAGTGCTTCCAACCTCAGAAGTTCGAGCAATCGCACGCCTCATTGAAAAATCCTGGATCCGCCACTGACCGGAAGAGTAGTTATAGTCTCTTGCAATTCATGTTTTTTTGTTTACCTTGTCAGTTGCACTTGAGTATTAAAAGCGTGCAAACTCTTTGCCGAAGAGTTCTTAATTTACATATCTACTGAAAATAAAAAAATGTATGAATTATAATTAATGGATCTGAGTATAGAAAAGCAGTGGAGGGATAGTGAAAACGTTTTCTAACCTTTTTCCACACTATCTACATTTATCCTACTCTTCCGATATAAACCTTACCATACTTTGATGATTTAACTTTTTGATTTTTACTAATACGAATCCTGTAAATATAGATAACTGTAATCTAATGTTTAGTCCTATTGTATTGTATTATGCATTATGTAAAATTCTGATATGAACGAACGATTATAATTTAGATTTTATTGCAAAGCTGTTTGCTCTCTTTTGTAGAACCAAAGACTTTGAGAAAACACAAATAAGATAATGTAATTAATATTAGGAATAGACATACTCACCATTAGAATTTATTGGGCTGGTAAAGTGTTTTGAGCTGATTGATTATAAGTTGTTTTATCAAGGTATTTTATAAAGGTAAAAATTTTACATTTTCATTTAAAACAATAGATGATATTTACGTAGTGACAATATATTAATGTTGTATAATATATGCATACATACTTTGAAAGAGTAAAAGAATAAAAGCTTGTAATAGTGAAGTACGGATAGAGTGACAAGCACAAACTTGCTGGAGACAATTTTAGAAATGAACAATACATCAGAAATTCATTATAATGTTGACGATAACGAAGTGCATTCAACACATTTAAACGATGCTTTTGAAAGAAGAGACAATTTACAAGTTAACCGAAAACTGTCATCAGTCTATGAACCAAATAACGATACTCGTGCTAACGTAAGCGAATAAGTTTTTTCAAATATGTTATCTAGTTAACTTACATTCTTTCGTAGAAGAACAGCTGCTAACTGTGAATATTTATATTAACTTTAACACACTTTAAAGTTTCATTCTGATGCCTTCTATAGACCAATGAACTATTCGTTAGACTTTTGAGATAGAACTGTTTTCATTATTCAGTGAACATTAATAAAAATTAAATACATACGTGAGTAGCTCGAGTTGTATCGTGTTGAAAAGTGTATACTAAAAAGTTCTAACCTTGACCATACACAAAATGAAATGTTTAGGCAAGACAGTTATAGTTAAGTGAGGCACTAGAAATCAACTACTGTTCTAGAAAAACTTTTTTGAGTTTTTGACTATGTCATTCTTCAACATATATCAGAATATATTTTTTCTAATATTTTCAAGCATAAAATATTCTTCTGTTTAGTGCAGCTATACATGCTTAATGATGTTTTAGCTTTTTCAAAAAGTACACTTCTTTGTTCAGCTTCCCTGTTAATAAGTGCATCTTCTCTCTCAACAAATGTTTTCTACTAAAATACTAACACTTCGTTTTATGTGTGATTCAAACTAAAACTCTCTAACATGTACTTTGAGACGTGTTGTAACTCGAGAAGCTCAAATATGTTGCTTGGTTACACAACAGAAATCTGGTGAAATGGTAATTCTAGAGTACATAAGCAAACAAAAAAGTTACGATGGCCTAATTACGATGACCCCTGACGTTCTGATCCATGGCTTATCATTGTTCATTTTACTATTCGATAATATGTTCTCGAGTTTGGGTCGAAAAGGCATATACACTCATTCACTTCTCACTATGACCGCAGTGTATAGGCTGTTTTTCGTGTCTAATAGGGGTATGAGGTATATTTAATGTCAAGGAACACATATGCTCGGAGCATCTGTGTTCCTTGACATTAAATATACCTGTCGGTCTATCTGATAAACTCTACTGCAGTAGAATTTATCAGATAGACCGACAGATGAAAATGACGAATATGCTTTCTTCGAAGGAACAAAATGAAACTTTAAGACGCCATTACTGTACTGCCAATTGATATAACAAAGATACCGCTTTAATTTTTTGTGTGATCTTACGTTTCATCTCGTGATTCCTTTCTCTTGTATCAACACATTAGAAGAAGAATTTTTCTTTTCAAACGAATATTCACCTGCAGTATGCCTGTGAATTTCTTTCTTTCTTTGAAAAAAATGATTTTGTTCTTGGAGTGCAGTGAGAGATGCGATAGCGCTCCCTTTTAACTTGCCACATACATGTGTTAGCATCCTATAATACTACCTTCGTTTCGTGTTTAGCTCCGATATTGACAGCCCTGTATCTTAAAAGTAAAATGTAATCTTTACTAAAAACAATAGCTCGACATAGAGTAGAACTCGTGTACTTCAAACTGTCATAACAGCGAAGAGTGATCCATTCTAGTTAATTTTATTTTAGTCTCTCAAGTTGGCAGAATATAGAGTAATTTTATAGTGAGTGCAGTGAACATTTCGATGAAAATCAGAGCTGGAACTGGTTGAGAAAAGATAAGCCGGTCCGGTCCGGCAGGTAAATGGGCCGATTTGAATTATACCTCAAACCGGCGAAAACCGGTAAAATACCAGCGAAAACCTGGCGAAGTTTTTGAAAATCGATTTTCAGAAAGAATTTTCCCCCCAGAAATGAAGTAGTTTGCGATTTTAGTTTTCTTGACGAAAAACAGGGTAAAAAGAGCAGATGTTTCAAAACTTTCAACCGGTGAAATACCGGTCTCTACCGGCTCGGTTGACTTTTTCAACCGGTCCTGTCCGGTACCGATTCGGTTCCAGCGCTGATGAAAATATATAATTTGTCCTTTTCCTATTTTATCTCGTTGTCTATTGCAGTGCGTATGTAACAAAAAATGAAAGCGATAAGGAATACTGAAAACGGCACATTTGACCTCTATAGTTCAACTATATTTTCTTTTTTGTTTGCTTATGTACTCTAGAATTACCATTTCACCAGATTTCTGTTGTGTAACCAAGCAACAAAAGAGGACTATAGGTACTGAAAAAAGCTAGAAAACTCGATAAACATGCTCTAAAACAGCTTTAAATCATGAAGAATCAGGATAACCGTCATCTTTGCTTTGAAACAATTGCTACATTCAATGAGAATAAACACTACTCACTTAGCGTTGTCTATAAAAAAATTATACTTGCAACCACAGAGACTTCACAACTGAAACTTTCAGAAAATGTTGAACTGATAGTCGGTATTTATTGCCCAAAATTTCAGATCGATCCGTCTGACGCTAAAAACGTCGATTTTTCAATCTCTCAGACAAAATAGTTCGTCGTGAATTGTTTTCATAGGAAATTAAAAACTCACTCAGAACCAATCTAGACTACGTCATAATACCAAGTTGTGTTGCATTTTATTTGCTCAGTCTAACTCTGCACTTATAATTTGTAAAAAAAAACATGTTTTTCTATCAAAAAGTTTCTAAAAAAATCTTTTTGAAAAACTCAAATATGTTTTTGTAGGTTTTTAGGTGTAAGATCAAATTCCAAGTTGTAGCTCGTACATCCTGATGGATCGTCTACTACTTTCTCCGATTATGATCTATTTTTAGTTTGAGAATGATACGAATATACCACAAAAATTAATTATTTCGAACACAATCATCGTTCCAAAATGGATATCAATTGCACGTTTAATAACAGCTATTATTTATGTTGTACTTCTTCTTGTCTATCTGATAATTATGATTTTGGCAATAGTTTTGTATCCAAGATGTGAAAAAGCTCCGATTTCCGAGTGGTGGAGAAATGCTGTTATAATTAAAGTCAATTTACCTGACAACGAAAATAATGTGAAATTTTCTAATATTACAAATAATTTAGACTCCTATAAAAATGATTTGAATATACAAGCCTTATTATTAAGTTCAATAATGCCATTTAACGAAAAACGCTCAATACCAAATGAAATGCAAAGTGTAGATGCTACACTTGGCAACGAAATAGATTTGAAAAAATTATTACAATATGCGCATGACAAAGATATTCGAATATTGATTGATTTTCCATTGAATCATTTATCTGTTAAGTCGCCAATATTTCAAAGTTCAATAATGAATGAAACCGGTATGTATGGTCAATATTTTGTTTGGAATAATCAAATGAATACAAGTAACTGGTTAACAATGAATATGGAAAAAGCGTGGACATATAATAGAGAACGTAACTCCTATTATTTACATCAATTTTCAAATGATTCTGCTGATCTCAATTATCGAAATAATCGTGTTTTAAAATATCTGATTGATTCGTTTCATTATTGGAATGATCAGAATATTGATGGATTTAATATTATCGGTCTGAGTTATGCCTATGAAGATTATGAATATAGCAATGAAGAAGTTTTCCATAACAAAACAAGACATTTGGAAGAAGATTTTTTGCTTATTGGAAAAATACGTTCACTTAACACAACTAAATTGTATTTATTAGATACAATTGATACCAAAAATACCGATGATAATATACTTAATCGATACTATGGAAATGAAATAGTCAAAGGTTTTAATGTAATCTCTGCTAATAAGTATGTGTTGTCTGCTGATAATAGTGATAAAAATATTATTCAATTATTTGATGATTACTACAGAAATTCATCGTTACATGACAAAGGTCTTGTTTGGAAAACATTATTAACAAATTCGAGTTTGAATGAAGCTTGGTTTATGGCTACATTATTTCATAACGGTTTAATATTGATAGATGATACTCAATTGTCTACTCTCACTGATAATATTCGTACACTCATCACTATTGTGCGTAAAGAAAGTGTATTTCAAGTGGGTAATTTAAGACAAGAAATTATCGATAATGGAACTATTTTAACAATTGAACGTTATCGTCGTGGTTCAAAACATCACATGATCATTGTTAATTTCAGTTCAAGTCAAAGACAATTTAAGGTAATACTGAAAGAAGGTGTAACAAATGCTGTTGAAATAATGGTATCATCTAAAACATCGGAGAAATATGTCATTGGTGATTTAGTTGCTATGAATGAAGAAATTAATTTAAATGCGTATGAATATCTAGTTATTAGATGGTCAGCAACAATCGAAGGATTAGGAGTTATCTTTTAATTTTTTTTCTACTTATAACATTATACTTAGTGTTAGGTTATTGCCATTATTCTGTTGTTTTTTGAAACTGCGAAACGTTAAAAGTAGTATGCTTAATAAATTATTGTACAAATCATAGTGAGAAAAGCTGGATGATGTTCCTGCGATTAAAATTCGAAACTACTCTGATTGTTGTTATCTTAGACAGATAAAATAAAAATGCAATCAGCTATTTTTTTAATCGATTATATGAACGGCGTGGTTAGCTAACGGTAATTCTTCGGATCAGAAAGTTCGAACGTTCACTCGAACAAAGGTTAAAAATACATCGTTAGACGCAGTTTTTCGCATTGATTACGAATCCGAGCTCTAAAAAATTAAAAAATCTTCATGTTGAAAATTTAAATTTAAAAATTTTTAGATTTTAATTTTAATTCCCAACTTCTTACGGTGGCATAAATGCAAGTGCACATGTTTTTTGATTGTGCGGTTTCTTCATACTTGGTCGATCCGATCCATAGTGTATAGCATGCCCAGGACACGAACGGTCTTCACATTTCCAATAAACCATAGTATTCACAATTTTGTCTTGGGTGTAACGAAAAGTATCAAGTAAAATAAAATTGGTTTCTTACTCTTACTTTCAACAATAGCTAACATGAAATACAGTGCAAGATGTATCAGAGAAATCATCATGATTAACATAGTATGTTAAAGTTTAATACAAATAGAATAGATAGTGATTAATTTCCGTTTCTAACTACATGTATATGTTGCAGGTAAACTTAAAATTCTAATTTTGACTAGAGCTTCGCTAGGCAAAATTAAGATTTTAATTATGACCAGGCAGATTTTAAATTTGACTAGGCAGAACTAGGCAGAAAGCTACTTCTTCTTCATCTTCGGATTCTCTCGTTGGTACTGCTGAGAAACTTTTCTACAACGAGCTCAATGAAGTTTTGAATTCATTGAATAGCAAATTTCGAGAAAAAGCTGCTTTCAAAAAAGAAACTTATAATAATATTTTAAAAGCATTAATCTTGGAAAAAGGTAAGAGTTTAGCTAGTATAAGTCCTCAGTTCATATTTTGGGCTAAAAAGAATTTTGTGTTGGTTAAATATGCTGGCGTCGATTTGATTTGTCGTTCAAAAACGAAAAAACCTATCTGTGTTTTTGAAAGCCTTTACAATATTCTGCATGAAATGCATGAAAACATATCTCATAGATATCAGAGATAAAATGTTGAGAGAGCTGCTGTCTAACTATTCGTGGATTCCACGCGAATCGATCAAAATATTCTTGAAACACTGTGTGCAATGTCAGGTCAAAAAATCAATCAAGCAGCACGTTGTGTCCAAACCTATTGTTGCTCTAGGAGTTATGACTCGCTTACAAATTGATTTGATTGATATGAGAACGAGACCGGATGTCGTATTGAGTGACACAGTGTATTTGTGGATATTGGATTGTATCGATCATTTTTCAAAGTTTTCATGGGCTTCTCCTTTGTTAACCAAGTCGGCAAATGAAGTTGCTCTACGTTTGAAAGAATTGTTCTACGTTTTTGAACCGCCACGTTTACTACATTCAGACAATGGAAGAGAGTTTGTTGCTAGTGTAATTGATGGATTGAAAGTTTTATTTCCATCTATGTGTTTCGTTCGAGGACGACCTCGTCATCCACAATCTCAAGGATGTGTTGAAAGAGCGA